GTTATTCAATATATTATATATATTATAGGGCATATAGTGACATGGTGTGGTTATTCAGTATATAATATATATTATAGGGCATAGAGTGATATGGTGTGGTTATTCAATATATTATATATATTATAGGGCATAGAGTGATATGGTGTGGTTATTCAGTATATAATATATATTATAGGGCACAGGGTGGGTTATTCAGTATATAATATATATTATAGGGCATAGAGTGACATGGTGTGGTTATTCAATATATTATATATATATATTATAGGGCACAGAGTGACATGGTGTGGTTATTCAGTATATAATATATATTATAGGGCATAGAGTGATATGGTGTGGTTATTCAGTATATAATATACATATTATAGGGCACAGGGTGGGTTATTCAGTATATAATGTATATTATATGGGAACAGGGTGGGTTAGTCAGTATATAATATAGGTCACAGGGTGGGTTAGTCTGTATATAATATATATTATAGGGCACATGGTGGGTTAGTCGGTATATAATATATGTTATAGGTCACAGGGTGGGTTAGTCAGTATATAATATATATTATAGGGCACAGGGTGGGTTAGTCAGTATATAATATATATTATAGGGCACAGGGTGGGTTAGTCAGTATATATTATATAGGAACAGGGTGGGTTAGTCAGTATATAATATATATTATAGGACACAGGGTGGGTTATTCATTATAGAATATATATTATAGGGCATAGAGTGACATGGTGTGGTTAGTCATTGTATAATATATATTATAGGACACAGGGTGACATGGTGTGGTTAGTCAGTATATACCGGTAATATATATTATAGGACACAGGGTGACATGGTGTGGTTAGTCAGTGTATAATATATATTATAGGGCACAGGGTGACACGGCGTGGTTAGTCAGTGTATAATATATATCATAGGACACAGGGTGACATGGTGTGGTTATTCAGTATATAATATATATTATAGGACACAGGGTGACACGGTGTGGTTAGTCAGTGTATAATATATATTATAGGACACAGGGTGACACGGTGTGGTTAGTCAGTGTATAATATATATTATAGGGCACAGGGTGACACGGTGTGGTTAGTCAGTGTATAATATATATTATAGGGCACAGGGTGACACGGTGTGGTTAGTCAGTGTATAATACCAGGTGACAGTGAGTGATAGAGAGAGTTTAGTATCAGAGGCTGAGGGGTGTGAGGACTATATTACCCACGTCCTATATACTTCCGCGAAAAGAATCCCTGCGCACCAGTTTGGCACTTGGCGTTCCCGCGCCGCACAGTTGAAGGGCTCTACGTCACGTCTGCGCCTGACGCACTGACCTCGGAGGCGGACTTTATCTGCTCCTTTTACAGCACCGTGGTGAACTCGTCCTCCATCTTGGTACACCCGCACAGCGAGTGTCATCACGTTTCGGGTATGCCGTCCATGTTGGTGCTCTCACCTGCGTCATGTGACATATCGTATTACAATATGGTAGCAGTTACCGCAGCTGTGTCTCTAGAGTTGGTCAGCTAATGTCATTAGACCCCCCAAAATGTCCTCATCCTGATAGACAGAACATGAAAGTGCCACCCTCAATACTGCCCTCTATAATCCAAGTTCTAAATCAAAATAAAATGTAGTTTAATAAAGTGATAGTAAATTCAAGGCTTTATATGTGGCTTAGAGAATTTTTCTACCTAATGGAATTTTTTTTTTATCAATCTTTATTGTGTTTTGTATATGAGACTAAAAAAAAAAAAAGACATACAGTATACAGACATAAAATTCATACACGATACAATACATGGTTTTTGCAAAAAGATATTACAACAAAGATGCCTCGCAAAATTGAATATTATGCTAGCTTTAACGTACTAATAATCTTAATTTTAATAATTACAGGAGGCGAGTATTTTGCATAATTTCCCTTTACTACTCCATAGCAGCAAAGACATCGTCTTAAATTAGAGGGGCAAGGGTTTAAAAATAATATCAGGATAGTATTACTTTACTGAGAGGGTGGTGGATGCATGGAATAGCCTTCCAGCTGAAGTGGTAGAGGTTAACATAGTGAGGGAATCTAAGCATGCGTGGAATAGGCATAAGGCTATCCTAACTATAAGATAAGTACAGGGACTAATTAAAAGTATTTCGAAACATTGGGCAGACTAGATGGGCCGAATGGTTCTTATCTGCCGTCACTTTCTATGTTTCTATATAGAGAAAAAAAGGAACCAATTAGAGATATACAGAGATTTAAGATACGCCTTCCACTGAGTCACTTCCTCTTGATAACGGCGACTTTACAAGTCACACGATCAACTGAAGAACCATACGGAATAACGAAGACAGTTCAAATTCCAGGAATGATGCATAACAGTTGGATTCATTCAAAACTGGGAATAACGACTATCCTTGTACGCTTGATGTAGAAGATCTCTTTGTGTCTTTTAAGCTGATAGAGACCAAGAGCATTTTAGTGATATGAAATGTAAACCTGAAAAATATGAGTAACCCTCACATAAAATGTGCGCAATAATTCGGTACTAACACAATCTATCGTGATCTATAAAATTGAACATACGTACCATAATATAGCTACCTAATACAGAATATCTATACATATATCAACTATGTATGAAAAATAACCCCAACTTTCCATCTAGAGTGAATAGCGTCACAAGAAAACGACCAGTACCATATTGATAACATACCTCACCTACCTAGATGCGAACCCACCTGAATGGGAGGGAAATTCAATAGGGGGGGGGAATACTCGCTTCCTGTCATTAGTAAGATTATTAGTACACTAAAGCTAGCATAATCTTCAATTTTATCACATGACAGGAGGCTTCATATTTTGCATTTTTAATGCTGAGGTAATAGAGAGAAAGCAGGAATTTTGTACATTCGGGTGCTTCTGAATGTCTGAATAGCTGAATTGTCGAAGTGCCGAAATTACCGAATTTCCGAAGTGTAGTAGTGCTGAAGTTCCGAGGTGTCAAAGTGCCGAAGTACCGAAGCACAGTATTGCCTAAGTACTAATATACTAATCCAGTGAAGAAGAATGTTACATTGTATACAATTTTAAATAAAAAGTATACCAACATAGCCAGGATTCAGCTGTTAGCATTTGCAACACTTACAACAATCAAGTAACACACATTCATATAAAATGTAAGTTACTTGGCCAGTCAATTTAAGGACAGGAATGAATAAGTAGATAACTCCCTAATTCCCACGGTATTAAGGAGCTATCTACTAAAAGGCTGAAAGACCTAAATTGGTCTTTCAGCCAAATTTACTAATACTAAGTAACGATTACTTAGTATTAGTAAATTATGCCCCTACTCGCCATATCACGAGTAAGGGTATCTGTTAAAAAAAAAAAAAAAAATCCCCCCTCCTGAGCCCCACCCGCGACGTGCGAATCTCTTCATTTACCTGTCAGAGCACTCGGATTGGATGGCTTAAACCCACTAATCAGAGTGCTCTGAGCCTAATTGCAGGGCGGGGCAAGGCTTTATAAGCCTTCCCCCGCCCTGAAGAGCTCAGTCTGCGCGGAGCCCTCGCCGGGTGAAGATGGATTTATTTATTTTTTTAATTGCGTCGGTTATTATGGATTTTTATTTGGCCTGTTTTGGGGCTGAAAAAAGAAGATTTTAGAAGAAAGAAAACATCAAATGGTAAGTTTTATTTTATTATTTTAACAGGTTTAGCTAATGTTCCCCTCTCACTATTTTTAGGGTGAGGGGGGGTAGGTAGGGCTTCATTATTTTTGGGAGGGGGTGACTAGTGGTTTGGTGACCCCTAGTCACCTGGGGGGGGTAAATTTGTATTTAGGGCCCCCACCCACACCTAAGTGGTTGATGTGACGAACTGTGGAGAAATTGTCCATGCGTAGCAGGATACAGCAATCAGATCTCCCTTCCATTAGATTTGGGATAGCAGAGGCGCCGGCCAACAATTACAGGCATGTATACCGTCGAGCCACCATCAAAGTTCTTGTCGGATTACTTACGTCATGGGTACCGGTGAAAGAAGGTGGTTGCGATTCTGGTCAGAAAGTTGAATGTCGTCCAGGTAAGCCAGGCATCGTATGCCTTGAACCTGTAAGTGAGCCATTACTGGTTTCAGAAACTGTCGTAAAGCACCGTGGTGCCGAACTGAGCTCGAATGGGAGGCAGGTGAATTGCCATGGTGTCCCGTTCCAGAGGAATCGTAAGGAGGGATGACTGCCGTTGTCTACTAGTACAGACAGGTAGGTGTCTTTAAGTCCAGGCAGGTAAACCAGTCTCCTCCTTGACGGAGGTGCCGCAATACCATCTTGAAATGGTGGTATATAAAAATGTTTAGCCAGGAAAGAGACACACAGATATTTTCTTATTTCCAAGTGCATCCTATTGATGTAACATTTACACAATTTATTGGTATTCATTTTTTCTACCTCAAAGGGCTGAAGGGCTTAGTCAACACTGCTAGGGATTTGAACCTGTGACCCCGAAGGGTTAAGCAGATTCTTCTGACTAAGCATTAGCCTTTCATGAAAGGCTCACCAAATAATTTCCTTGTGCCTGTGGGCCCAATTATTTAACCCCGAGGTTTACCAATTTGCCATCAATTCGGAATAAGGCTGCCCGACATTTCTCAGAAAAGAGGGCCCAGGAAGCAAAACATCTCTGGGTCCACTCACGAACATCGTGGACCCCGTCACACACATTGTCTGCTGTAAGGATTCAGCCTGGGTGTATGCCTCATTCATCCTGGGCTCCCTTGAACCCTTTCTCGACCTCTTTCCTAGGGTCTCTACCCCCTTGTGCCATGAAGACCAGCATCATCTGGTCAAAGTCTGGGGTATAGGTGACCTTATCCGGAGTGCACTCTGATCTCAGCCGCTTGAGGACCTCCTTGTGCAATACCTTCCCTAGCCAGAAGTGCATGTGTCCAATCTCCTGAGCATGGGTGGCAAATGTTTCTCGGGTCAAACAGCATTGGCCCATTGTGTCAAAAAAGTTTGCCAATCCAGCTGTGCCGAAACCAGCTCTTCCTCCACATCACCAACATGCTGGGGCTTACCCAGAAAGGTCTCCTTGACAAAGGAGTTGGGACCCCAAGTCCCATGATCAGAATGGGGATCTTCTGCTTGCCACTGATCAAGAAACAATAGTGATGGTGGGACCTCCTGCTACTCGTCCGAGGAAGCATCATAAGTTGGAGGGTTTACAAGCCGTGTACATTTTCCCTTCTTAGGGAGCTTTACCCTTAGTGGGTATTAATTTTTGAACCAGTGGCACTTAGTAGGGCGGCTTGCTCCTTGTAAGAGGAGTTGGACTCCTCCGAGACATCTATCGTTTAGCGTTTAGCGGGTTGAGTCTTGAGTGGCTGCAACGCCGTGGCTGAGGACTTCTCCACAGAAGTGGCAACTGCTGCAATGATTACTGCCTGGAGGTCTGAGGGCATCTAAATCTACCATTATTAACACCCAGTATACTTGGGGCCCACCCAATAAATTTGTGAATAAATAGGCAAATTGGTAGCAGGGACTGCTAGGGGTTATGGTGATCAAGAATGTGACCCATAGTAATGTATGTAGAGGCAGGGCCAGACTGGGACAAAAATTCAGCCCGGGCAATTAAAGGCAGATCAGCCCACTATTAGGGGCGGGGCCAGAAAGGGGGCATGCCATGTCACCACCATTGACACGCACACCCCCTTCCCCCCCACCAAATGAGTATGTTAATGTGACGCTCCTCCAGAGCATCCAGTGCTCCTGGCTAAAATAAATGCCATGAGGTGTTTCTAGGGGGCAAGGGGGGTTGAGTTTGTGCTGTGTTTGCTGGCGATTTGTCTCTGGTGTCCTCAATAGTGGGATACCAGAGATCAAAACAGGAACCGGACTGTTAAAGAGTGTTGTGCATGTGTGGGGATGTTCCTTGTGTTGTTGTATATGTTTGGACATTGCATGTGTGTAGAGCAATTGTGTGTGTGAAGGGGTCTGTTTGTGGCATACTGCATGTGGCTAGGGGCTGTAGTGTGTGTGTCTCTGGGTTGTAAAGTATGTGTGTTTGTGTGTGTGTATTTATATAGGGCCTGTGGAGTGTGTGCATGTAAGGAGCTGTACTGTGTGTTTGTGAATGTATCTAGGGGCTCTAGTGTGTGTATGCATATAGGAGCTATAGAGCACATGTGTATAGGGGGGATAATGTATGCATAGGTGGTGTAGTGTGTACAGGGGGTGCAGAATATGTATTTATAGGCGATATAAATTAGTGTGGGTGCATGCAGGGGGTGTAATGTGTGTGTTAATAGGGGTATAACGTATGAGAGTGCAGGGAGTGTAGTGTAGTGTAGGTTTATGGTGTATAGAGTGTGTTTAGTGTGTGTATGTGAGTGCCAGGGGACTAGTGTGTATATAAGGGGTATAGAGTGTGTGTAGTGTGTTTGTGTGTAAGTGCAGGAGGTGCAGTGTGGATATAGGGGTATAGAGTGTGTATTGTGTGTTAATGCAGGGGCTGTAGTGTGTATGTAGGGGTATAGAGTGTATGCAGTGTTTTTGTGGGTTAGTGCAGGGGGTGTAGTGTGTTTGTGTGTTAGTGCAGGGGGTGCTGTGTGTGTAGTGTGTTAGTGCAGGGGAGCAGTATGTTTGTGTTTTAGTGCAGTGTGTGTTTGTGTGTTACTGCAGTGTGTGTTTGTGCAGGGGAGCAGTATGTTTGTGTGTTAGTGCAGTGTGTGTTTGTGTGTTACTGCAGTGTGTGTGTGTGTGTTAGTGGTGCAGTGTGTGTTAGTGCAGTGTGTGTTTGTGTGTTAGTGCAGTGTGTGTTAGTGGTGGGGAGCAGAATGTTTGTGTGTTAGTGGTGCAATGTGTGTAGTGTGTGTTAGTGCAGTGTGTGTGTTTGTGTGTTAGTGCAGTGTGTGTTTGTGTATTAGTGCAGTGTGTGTTTGTGTGTTAGTGGTGCAGTGTGTGTAGTGTGTTTGTGTGTGTATATGGCCTTAAATTATTATTATTATTAAAAAGTTAAAAAAATAATAATAATAATTCCATTTACTCCCCCTTTTAACTTTGCAGGGGGGGAGGGAGCATTCACATACCTGGTGGTCCAGTGAGGGGGGGCTACGCCACACACACATCCCTGGCAGTCCAGCGGCAGGCAATTCAGTGGGTTACCATGGCAACGCTCTGATAATCTTGGAGCTCGCGAGAAGAGGAGATAGGAAGCTGCTCGGCGTGCGCAGAGGGTGATCGGCTCACTGCCCGATCTCCTCTCCGGCCCATTGACAGGATAGAACTCCATCTTGGGGCCGGTGCTGCTGCGCATGGGCTGGTAGGGGAGATCTCTTGATCTTTCCTACCGGCCTTGGTCCATGGCCATCGCGGCCCACCGGGCATTTGCCCGATGGCCAGTCCGGGCCTGTGTAGAGGCAACGCTTGGGATCACCCAGGTAAAAGGAGAGTGCAAGCACAGTTTCACTCGGCAGCAGTATATGGGTGCTCACCCCAAGCCGGGTTACTAGGTATAAACCTGACTGGCTGAACCACCCCTAGGTTAATTATAACCATGACAGGTCCCTGTAGCAGGGAAGGTGAACAGAAGCCAATTTCTGCACAGATTCCAATATATATCAGTAATAACTTGACCCACCCAGTAATAATGAAACCTCCAGGAGTATAACCCGTAGGGAAGTACAGTGGCACAGACAACGGAAGAAGAGGGAGGAGAGGAGGATGAGGAGAGCTCCCCGCCTGGCGTTGGAGAAAGAGGTAAGTTTAACCCCTTCCTCCCCCCAGAGCCCGGGGGCAGGGGGTCCCTGAGGGTCGGGGCACCCTCAGGGCACTATAGTGCCAGGAAAAGGAGTATGTTTTCCTGGCACTATAGTGGTCCTTTAAGTGAGAAAAAATTGTTATAAATGAGAAAAAAAATGCTTTTTTTTTTTGCATATATTTGCACATCCAGTACAACTTAAAGGGTTCTCCAATCACCGTGACCACTTTAGTGATTTGAATTGGTTATGGTTGTAGGAGTCTGGATGTGCAGTGTTTCAACTTGAAACACTGCACATACACAGTCATTTTTAATTGTGTGCCGGGGTCTAGTTACACCCCAGCACATGTGACATTGGCAGCCCAGAACAGGACTTGGGCTCCCAATGTCAATTCTTTGCATAAAAAAAAAATCTGTTGTCAGTGCACACTGCATGCTGTCAACAGACGTGATAATCTTCCACCTGATTTCTTCCCCCTCCTTATCCCATACCACATTTTATCTTTCTCCCACTTCCCTCCTCCTTTCTCTCCCTCCTACCCTACACATGCACTCTGAGCCAATTAAATAGACCAATCAAAGGTTTCTCTATGAAAAACCTTTGACTGGACCTTGGTGCTACTCCCATGATGTAAGATGGGGGTCTTGCCCGCTGCTGGATAAAGTGAAGTAATACCTTCATTGAAAACGCTTTCGAGAGGGGACACCATGGCAAATAATGTCACGTTGAAAAAAAAGGGTTGGAGTAACCTTTTAAGAAAAGGCGAACGAGACACACAGGGCTGGGGAGGGGAGAAAGATATAACAAATGCGCTGGGGGGATTAAGAGACACTCAAAGGGGCTGTGGGAGGTAAGAGACACAGGAGCTGTAGGAAAGTAAGAGACAAGAGGGGCTTGGGAGACTAAAAACAACACACAAGGGGGTGTAAAACACATAAATGTAAAAATGGGAGGATAAGATCGTAGCGTTACTTACCTTAACCGGGGGCCGGTCGCGGTCCTCTCTTCAAGCCGCGCGCGGTCCTGCGGCTCATCCGACTACTTTAGATGGAAGGCGGGCAGTGACCGCGTGAAGCGGTCACGTGTCCCGCCTGAAACTAAGAGCGCGCCGCGAGTCTCGGGCGCGCTCTTAAAGAGACAGTGGGAGCCTAATTGCCAAAAGGCTCCCATTGGCTCCTGTCATACCACACTCCCTGTACAATTACCTATAGGGGGTGTGGAAGTGACAGGAGCCAATCACTTTCGTTTAAAAGCTATTTAAACTTACCTTTTTCCCTTAGCTCGTTGCCCTATCGTGGTTTCTGTTTCAGTTCCCTTTAGCGCTTGTGGTGTTCAGTTGTGTTTTCTCGTATTGACTTTGGCTTCGTATTCTGACTTCGTTTTCGCTTTATCCTTATCTGTACTGTTTGCCGGCTTGCTGTTTTCCGTGTACCAGACCCCGGCTTGTCCTAGTTTACGCTGTCTCTCTGTGCCCTTGACCTCGGTTTGTTCCTGGCTCTGTCTCCTCTCATATACGTCGAGTCCGGCCATTCTAAGGTCCGGTAGACGTATCTCTCCTCTGTATTTGCCTCTGTTTAGCTGGATCCTGCGTGTAGGGGTATATTCTCGTTACATTACGATAGGGCCATGGACCCCGCAGATTTAGCTCAACAGATGGCGTCCCATGAGGCAAGATTTGTAGAGCAGGATCACCGTATGGATCAGATAGCTCAGGCTCTCCAGACGCTCCTAGCTAGAACCGTTCCAGCAACCACACCTAACCCTCCTACGCCCCTTCTCCCTGAAGTATCTACTTTGCCTAATACTTCGGCCCATTTAACACCTCCTCCTAGGTATGGAGGGGACTCTAAGACTTGCAGAGGGTTTATTAATCAGATTGAATTTCACTTCGAAATGTATCCACGTTCATTTCCCACAGAGAGGTCTAAGGTTGGGTTCTTTATGCACCAACTTACCGATAAGGCACTTGAGTGGGCAAATCCTATTTGGGAAGCTAATGGACCTATGGTACATGATTTCAACAGTTTTCTTACGGCTTTTCGTAGAACTTTTGACACAATGAAAAGGTCAAAGAATGCCGCGAGAGCATTAATGAGAATTAAACAGGGTTCTAGGTCTGTGGCTGATTATGCTATTCAGTTTCGCACTCTTGCTTCGCAGGTAGATTGGACCAACAATGGGTTAACTACTGCCTTTATGGAAGGTTTGTCAGATACGATATTGGATGAGGTAGCAGCTAAGGAGCTTCCTATTGCCTTAGAGGACCTTATCGATTACCTCATTGATATAGATAATAGAATTCGTGACAGGCTCTATACCAAGAACAGGAATAGACGTTTTGTTACACCCATTAACCCCAGAGTTAATATACCAGAGAGTGTTAAAGTGTCTGAGGAGGAACCTATGCAATTAGGGGTTGCCAAACTCTCTGATACTGAGAAATTACATAGGAGAAG